ATTTATTTACATTTCTGTAAGCTGTATCTATTTTAGTTCGATTCTGTTTGATATAGGCTTTACAGATTTCTCTAGTTTCGGCTTTTATATGGATTTACTGTTTGTTATTATTGTACATGGGATTTTAATCATACAGAACCCTGAGTCTGTGTAAAATATGGCCTATAAATATAGATTAAACCAAGGTACTCCATAGGTTTGGAACTCACCAAATTAAGCCTGTTGCATGAATAGAGCCGCCCTCTCTCAGCTCCACCTACCTCACAAGGTTGTTTTTGAAGGGACAAAACGAGCAGACAGTACACAGAAAGGCCTCTCTGCAACACTCAAGTTGCTGCACTCAAAATCGTGGGGCCTCTTCAGTGCCAACCCAACATAAGGGAGGAAGCTCCAAGATTTGTCTGCTGCCCAGGACACTTTCCAAACCTCCTCAAATTCACACAACCCACAAGAGACCCAATATAGGGATAAGAAGTATGAATTTTACAATGCTTTGGATTCAGTCCCAAAAGGCTGCTTTGGAGCAGATGGGGTGGAAGCACAGCCCAGTCTACAGCTCTTTAAAACAGCTTTTTCCCCGGATCGCGTGGTAATCCCATGAAAAGACACAGCTGCTTTAAAGAGCTGCAGATGAGGGATGTGTTCATGCTCTAAAGCAGTGTTTTTCAACTTTGGCAACCTGAAGATGCATGGACTTCAACTCCCAGAATTCCCCAGCCAGCATGGCTGGCTGGGGAATTCTGGGAGTTGAAGTCCACGCATCTTCAAGTTGCCAAGGTTGAAAAGCACTGCTGTAAAGAATCTTTTTGGACTAGCCTGAAGCACTGCACAGCCCAGATAAGTCGCCCAAATGTTAACATCTGTCCTGCAACCTGACCCTGAGCAAGTGAATTCTTCCTGGCCAAAATCAGAAAGGGAACAATCATCTCCTTAGCTCTTGTTCCCTTTGAGTGACCTCATGGAGCTCTTGAAACCAGGGAAGCTGGCACAAAGCTTTGCCATGCAAAAACAAGGGAGGAATACAGAATAAGCCAGGTTGTGATGGTGGCCTTGGAAGCTGCCTTAAACCAAGCTCAATGTTGGCATTGATTGGTCACTATCAGCTCAGATCTGTCACATCCAGTGGGAGGGAGCCCTGCAAAGAATATTTACATGCCATGGAAAGAGCACCAGTATGGTCTAGTGCAGTGTTTTTCAACCTTAGCCACTTTA